ATTAACACGAAAATGGATGTAACGTCGCTCCTCCAGAAATACTTTCCGATTGAACCAAGGTTAACGTAATCAACGTTTTGCGCCGGTTGGTTCCGCTGTAAATTTTCCACGACCAAGTAACCCTCCACAGTCCAATGACTGCGATGTGCTGTTGCCGCGTTTCCCATTCGTCCGGCAGTTAAGCGCCGTTGTAAATTTTAACAAATTCCAACTCGAATCCCCCGTATACATATATATATATGTGTGTGTGTGTGTGTGTGTGTGTGTATTCCATTCGATGATTCCATTCGCAAAACACGAAAGCGCAAAGGGAGCCCCTCGCTCCGCCCCAACCCCTCGTCCCCACCTCCCTCCCTCCCACCCGTAAAAATATCTCGTTTCTCTTCGATTTTGCAACCGGTCGCCGATCATTCGACGAGACGGGAAAAGGCAGGAGAAAGGGGAGGGGAGAGAAAAAAACGGGGGGAGAAAAAAGAGAAAAAGGAAACAAAAATCGTCATCGAGCGAGAAACGTAGGGGACGCGCGGCACTGGGCAAATATCATCGCAATATACAAACATTCCAGTCGTTGGCGCGCGGCATTCTCATCCCCGATTTTTCCCCGGCAACTATGTATTTGCTCTCCCCCTTGTCGCGAAATTCAAGGTATCGCTCGCACGAATAGCTCGACGAGCATCATAGAGCGAGAGGCGCGAGAGTGCGGGAGGAGGGCAGAGAGACGAGGTCATCGCAGCGCGAGCACAACGCACGTGCGTGTGAGTGCGTGCAATTTAATGATTTCCAGCCGGAATTTCGATGATGGCAACTGGAATGGAGGGGAAAATGGCGAGAAAGAGAGGACGGCGAGGGGGGACGAAGAGAGAGAGACAGACAGAGAGAGAGAGAGAGAGCGTGTGTGCAACGACGGGTTGGTCAGGGCCGGCTTGTTGCACACGCGCAAAATCTCACGTGAGAAACAAGGAAGAATAGAGAGAAATCGAGGGAGAGACACGAAACGGTGAAAGAGAAACAAACGAAGGGACGACGATAGAGAGAGAACACAGAGAGAGAATGAGGGAGGCTTGGAGGAAAGCGTACAAGAGAGAAAGAGCAAGAGAAAGAGAAACAGAGAGAGAAAGAGATAGGACGTAAATTTTCTAGCGGTGCGTTCATTTGTTCGTTCAACGAAATGCGAATGCATTATACATGGATTGCAGGGGACATTAATTTTCTGCCGTGGACGTGTAGTGGGCCGTGGAGGGCCGCTGGGTGGTCGGTGCTACCAGGCCGGAGGGGGCTCACCGTTTCCACGGACGAGGCAAGAGGGTTGCACAGGGAGGGGTGTATGTACGAGCATCGAAGAGAGAGTTAGAAGAAGAAAGAGCAAGATATAGTCAGATAGAGAAAAGCAAGAGAAATAGAGAAAGAGAGAAAGAGAGAAAAGGTAAAGAAAGATAGATAGAGAGAGAGAGAGAGAGAGAGAAAAGAAAAAGTATCTATCCAAACTCTGTCCAAGCACGTGCCAGCCTTTTTCCGAGCTTTCTACCTACTTTTCCGAGCTCGGTGAGGTGGTGATTTTGACGAGTGGACGAGACGAATCGCATCGCTGGAAAAAAAAGTGCACACGCGCTGTGCCACAGCGTCGCGTCGCGTCGCGTCGCGTCGTTCGAATTCGCTGGGAAAAACGTGCTGGGAATTTTCCAACTGGGGAAACGAGGGCCAGAGAGGGTGGGATATGAAATGCACGCGCCTGCGAAACCGCAGGCACTGACAAATAATCAAATATATCGCCACTCTCATTTGATATTCCGAGCTAGTGTAGGTGATGAATGTAATGACGTTATACACCGTCGGGGAATTACGGTCGTCAAGCAAAATTTAATGTCGATGCATGTTTAGTGCCGCCACGAGAGATACACGAAAAGGCATTAAACCGGGGGGAGAGAGGGGGGGGGGGATGGAGAAGAGTTAAAAAGAGCATCGGAACGAACGAGCGTCCGCTAAAACTCATCGATCTCCGGCCGCGCCGGTATTTTCTCTCTGAAAGAAAAAAAAAAAAATAACCCCGGCATTATCGGTCGCCCGATTAACCAAATTGAATGCAATTAATCGACCACTCGATTTTATTTCGCGATGAAAGAATCACGACGTGTTAATCAAATGCAAGACCCTCAGTATTTATTAACATGAAATTACATCGACTCGTTTGACATACTCTGGCCGTTTTTTCAATTAATCCGTCGGTAATAATTCATAATTCAGCTACTTTTGAAGTCGTTCTGGCTGACGAAATGAAAGACGCAACGTCGCTATAAACGATACGAATTTTGACAGAATCTTGAACGGTATCGTTCTCGTTGCGTCGGAAAATGAATGGTGCTTGTAGTACTGGCTCGTGCATACATACGTATGCACGTGTACCTATCGTTCGAAAGCTTCGTGTCGTTCGACGAAAGCGCATCATTGATAAATTCATAACACGATACGTAAAACAGGCGTGTTTCGAGTAAATGCAAACACGATAAAATTTTACGCGCGTACACACGGCTTCTAAATAAACGTCACTCGTAAAACGGCCGCCTGGCTCGAGCTTATAAAAATGACAAACTAATGCTTATAAAAGTAACAGTTTACATATTGACCATAACTTTTGCGCAGCAACCTTTCTCTTACGTCGTTTACCTTGCGTCGCGTCTTTCCAATTTCTTTCCTATCGCGTCTATCTCTCTCTTTTCGCCCGTTAACAAGACGAGTGTCCCATGCTGATGTGTTCATCGTACAACGCGACGTGACGCAATAAATAAGTTTTACGCTGTTTCTCCTATCGCGGCGTTATTCCGCCGTGTACGCTATAAAAGAAACATTACAATCATCGTTGTTCTCGATGACAGCACCATCGAAAGACTCTGTCGTTTCTTAACCTCGTGACAATGTAATAGAACGACAGAGAATTAGGACTGAGAAAACGATTAACTCTTTATCCTTAAGAAGATCACTGATTGATATTTTTTAACATTCGCAGACTTTAACTAACGCGTCTACTAACTTTTGTTATATTTTCTAATATCAAACTTAGATTCATTAGAGATTGAAAGAAAGATACAAGTTTTCTAATAATAGACGATAAATCTGATGAAATTTAATAAACATCAACCGATTATCATTCTCCGACTATTTTACAGGATGCAAAAATACATGTTTAATGATGCAACCCATTAAGAACGTAATTTTGATAACGGGAAATGGATTATTGAATTTTTAAATTCTTAATCGACCCTGCGCCACCAAAATTATCTTCTCATTTGTGGCTAAACACACGTTCTTCCGCTCTTGTAATTTTGGAGACATTATCCGCAATGTTGAAAGACTTTTAAGTATCCTTTTTTGACGTTTCTAACAACTCCTCGTTAATTTAGTTATAAAATATGATCGTTGAGATCGAAAAATCATCGCTCATCCTTGATTTTGATCAAAATATATAACATTTGGTAAATAAAACAAAGTACGGATTTGCATAAACATCTGCGGTTGATATCCTCAATCGATTAGTCGTGAAGATTCACGTTCAAGTCGTGAAATTTGCATCCCTGTCGTTGGAGCAATCCAGTTTCCATTTAGCTCGAATATTTTTAAATCAGTTTTTCCGTGTCGTGACGCGCCGTGTCGTACCCGTTCAGGGGAGAATCTTATCTGTCCGGTGTGGCTGCAATGCCAGTGAGATAACAGCGAGCAGATATTAAAAAAAAGAAAAGAAAAACGCGGCCAATGTTATCGAGTTATTTTTATTAAAACTTCGATCGTGCCTGAATAAAAGATGAATCTGGTCTAACAAGGAAGTAAGAAGCGTGGCGGAAGTAGGACGGGAAACGGGAGGAAGAGAAAAAGAAGGAGCGCCCGGGGTAAAAAGGAACGGGGAAGAATGTCGATATTAATAAAAGTTAAATTGAGCCAATCGCTTGTGGGAATTAGAATCGAGATCCGGTGGACGGGCGAGGCGGCGAACGAAAAAGCGTAATAAAAATTGCAACGATCGCCGGAGAGTTCCGTTCCTTCCACGCGCGCGCGGAATCGATAGAATAGATTAAAAGCTTCAACAGATATTTCCCCGCTAACATCGTCAATTTAATATTAATCGGCTTGTGAAATAATCAGGAAAGAATCTGCATAAATATTTCACGCGTGGTTACACCGGATAGCGAAAATTACTTGTACAAATTGGCTCGCTTTCTCGCGTTAATACGAATCGGTAATGTCCGATTTAAAATTCTTAAAATCGGATCGTTCGACGCGCCTCGTTAATACACGCGAATCGGATTGAAAGGAGAAAAAAGGACAAAAACGAGAAAGAGGAGAGAAGACGCGATGACACGCGACAAAAAACAGATAACGTATTCATCGTTTTAAATCAGGATGCGCTGGTTACGGGCTGTTAAAACACCGGTCTCTCTAATGGTCGTTTTAAAACGAGTGGCATTTTTTACGCTCATCCCTAAATCTGGCCGCGTTGATACCTGTTGCACGTCCCCGGAACGAAAAAAAAAAAAAAAGGAGAAAAAAAACAAGTAATTCGACCACCGACCTCCGTTGTCTCGCGCACCGTGTTCTCGTATATCTCAAACGCGTTTCACGATTAATCACCCATTCGAGAACCATTACGCTTTCATGGACAGCGATGCAATTATCATTAGCGATCGATGCACGGTTCTACCGATGCGACGTTGCGCCCGTTTCTTTCTTTTTTTTTTTTTTTTTTTTTTTTTTTTTTTTTTTCCTTTTTTTTTTTTCTTTTTTTTTTTTTTTTTTTTCTTCTTTTTGCTTCTTTTTCTGTTTTTCTCTGATCCGATTTTTATCCGATCAACCAGAATTAAGCTTCCCGTCGTCAATCGACCTATCAACCGTGGTTAACATCGACAAACACCGATCGATTTTCTCTCCTCCTATCGATATACATATATACTATCGATCCTTCGGCGTGGAGAGCCGTGTTCGCCGTGTACGAAAATAAACTTTTCTTGTTGCAGGTGAACGTCCGTACAAGTGCCATCTACCGGATTGCGGGCGGGCGTTCATTCAATTATCGAATTTGCAGCAACACCTTCGGAATCACGACGCCCAGGTGGAACGGGCGAAGAACCGGCCGTTCCATTGCAACATCTGCGGCAAAGGCTTCGCCACAGAATCCAGCCTTCGTACCCACACGTCGAAGGTCAGTCATGTATGTACCAAATCCGACGTCCAACAACAACAGGCATTTTGGCTACTTAACGCGGTGCTCGCACACGATAATAATCGAACCATGGTCGGAAAGATCCGGAGAACCGAGTCGTCTATCACGAAAAAAATCAATCTCAGACGGTTGTACACACGTGCGATATGTAACTCGTACATTGCCTATATTGTATAAACTGAATGCATTATCATTAACGTAACTCGCCAAATATCTCCGCTGGGATAACCTTTCTGTCGGCCGATGAAACGCTATTATACGCAGATATCTTTTTCCTTATAACCGTCTCCGTATAACGGAACACGTTTCTCTGAGTGCACACATGGTGGCGGGTCACGCTTCTGTCCGAACAATTTCTGTCAGCAGACTCCGTCTTATCTTACGACACAGGCTCCATTCTACTCTTTTCCTCCATCGACGATCATACACGCGCGCGTAGTATAAACTAGTAGGTATAGTAGCTTCGTTGAAACGTCAAAGGCGGACCCGAGCCTTTGAGCGTTCGGTAAAGAGGGCAAGAGCAACTAACTCTTGTCCTCCTCGTCCATCCTCGCGGGACCAATGCACGAGATTCGATGCACGGTGATATCGCTCTTTAAAACGCGATGATATTACAATGGGGTAGCAGTTCGAGCCGCAACGGGTAACAACGAGAGATCAATGTCTCTCTCTCTCGTTGCGTTTCCGTGAAATCATCTCGCGGGAGCAAGAGTACCGGCTCGCATCAAACCGTGCAAAGAGTTTCGCGATTCACCGAGTCTCAGTAGTCTGACGACTAGAACGTCGTTGACAATAGGGAGAAAGATCCTGTAACGGTAGCTTAGATCATTCCGCTGGGTTTCTTCGTATAACGCTTGGGACTGCTTTGGTTGTGGTTTTTTTTTTCTTTTTTTTTTTCTTCTTCTTATTCACCGATCAACCAACTTCGAACTTTGCAACCAACTTCGAGTTCGCAGAGCGATACAGGTCAACCTCCGCACACATCACGCCTTCACCAAAAAAAAAAAAAAAAAGAAAAAAAAGAAGAGAGAAAGGTATTTGAGACGAGATGCTGGCTAATAATGGAAAAAGGATCTGCAGCGATGTGTCTTAACGCACTCGCCTAATTGATTAATTTTTCAAGGTTAGTTTTGAATGTTTACGAAAACTACGAAAATTTACAAAATCGCCAAGTATCATCAATCTAGTCACTAGCATTAAAAGTTC